ATATTTTACATTTATCAAGAAACAGCTGACAGTACATGAATTAATAAATGTATGAACTTTATATGGGTTAAAACTTTAAGAATTTTAACTTTCAAATGAATTATTGTGAATTAAGAAAATTATCAAAAACTTTACATTATCTGTCTGACATTTGATTCTCAAATGAGCCTTTTATAATTGTATCTAATGTAATCAAATTGTTTTACATTTTAGAGACCAATGGAATAGGTATTCCCATTTAAAAATACAACAGTTTTATTTTTCCTAAAAATAACTAGAATTTATCTGTCAGCATATACTACACAACATAGTGTATACTAATTCAATAATTAATTCGACTAGGTTTAATTTTAATTTATACAGGTTTGTAAGCTTCTGAGACATTTTAGAAAAATCAACATGAAAGTAGAACGTAAACGACGCTCAAGCGTTATGTGCCGTATTTTTACGACGGCGACGACTTATAGCCACGTTCATTATATCCACAACGTTAACACTTGTAATATTTTCGGGGAAAACTGAATTACTATTTCACTGACTGTCGAAGTGCAGACGGTCGAGTCGTAACTATATCGCGTCGCACCGTATTGCTTATACATTTGAATATTTTAATTTGATCGTGTGAATCACAAACTAATGTGGAATAGATTAGCTACAACATTTTTGCAGATTTTCGTATTTTTATAAAATGTCTTCAACATTTTTTTATTAAAGATATCAGTATATGAAGTAATTTGAAATACATTTCAAAGATTTTTGTGCGAACTTAATTTATTTTATTTAGAAATAAACAATACTTTATAAAGGTACGTTTTTAAAAAGAACAGACCATATCGATACCTAAGAGCACACATGTGCTATGTCCAAATATCCGACTTTTAATGTTATTTAATTGATTTTGATAGCATAAGTATCTAAAACCGCCTTTTTTTAATTCAAATACTTCATAATTAATATTTTATTTTAGATAATTATTATAAAAAAAAAGGAATATTTGTTCTAGTTTTATAGTTATGCAAACAACTAAACTTCTTTAGTGATTTACCAAAAATTAGGAAAATGGACATGGAACATGTGTGCTCTAAGGTATCGATATTAAATACGTATTTCAATTTAATATTGTAATTACAAACATTCTCCATACAATTTAGATCTTTAAAATGATATTTTAATAATAATTTGTACATCAAATAATGCCGCAAATTAAATTGGAATGTTATTTTAATATCACACCAAAATTATAATAAAAATCTTTAGTAAAGTTGTAACGCATTTAAACTTCAAATGGACTGTATAATTTTTAAATAGTTCCTGCTACATTTTAACCATAATTTATATTAATAATTTTCCACTACTGAATTGAAATCCTCAGTATACAACTGGGAGATAAATTGTCTAAAACGGTTTAAAAATAGAAAAATTCATAAGATAAAACATTAATTAATATTATACTGGAACTAAAACTATACTGAATAACTAAAAAAAAAGTCTAAGTTTCCCCCCCCCCACATTGTCATATCGAATTCAAACCTTCACCAATATTTCAGAAAACTTATTTGGAACTATTTGGTACCATGTTTTCAGAATTTGGAACTTCACACTTTTCTCAGAAAACAACTTTTTCCGTTTATGATGGGGAGGAGCTTCTATTTGTCATATCTACTTAAAATATTTGATCAATATTTTGGAACTTATTTGAAACTAATTTTCCAAATTATCTATAGTTAATACAGTCTACAGGCATCAAAAATAAATAATAGTAATAAATTTAAATTATATATTTTGAAATTAGTTAATGCTTTAAATAATAAAATTTAAAATAAATCTAAAAAAATTGTTGAAGTTCTAAAACGGCATCAATTGATACATAATTAAAATTTTTCTCATAAAAAATCTCTTTTACAATTAGCTAAAAAATGTAATTTGTATTGCCGCATAATATTTTAAAATGCAATGTTTTAATGATGAGCAAAAATTTTTTTTACTATTGAAATATAATATTTAAACTCTGAACTATATGTGCCCTTAATGTATTTCTATGTCCATTGGAGGGAGGCCTCAGAATATCTAAAGTTGACATTGTAAAACTAGGAAGCAAACTTCTTGCAGCTGTCAAAATTGTCCTATCTTTGACAATATTTATATTATATTAACAACTATTAACAACTTGAAAAATTTTAAAAATTAAATTTCAAAATATTTGATTAATTCACATTCAGCGAATAAAGCAAAACTCGAACTGTACAATGAATAAAAAAATGTCAAAACACAACAATTATAATGAATGTTTCTAATGATTTCAAAACCATAGTAAAAGTATTAAATAAGTATGTAAATTGTATTAACTTAGATTGCTTGGAGTATAATACTGGTATTTTCAAAAATACTACAAAATAATTAAACTCTCACTTATTCATTGAAACAAATGCGTATTCAGAGTTCACTTCGTTTTTTTTAATAAATTAATACCTAGAGAAAGTGAATGTACATATAAACATGTAATCAAAACTAATATAAAATTATAATAATATACCTATACTTAAGATAGTTACAGTTTTAAAGCACGATCACTTTAATATAATAAATAACAGAGTCGGTCTGGTCTACCCGGATACCCAGCAATTGCCGGGGGCTCCGAGATTTATTTTTAAAATAGAGGCCTAACCAAGGGTGAATCCACAGTTAAAGAACTGTGGGTCAGGCTATTTCAAGAGGCCACTTATTAGAGCTAAAAGTGGATTATAAATGTATTCCTTGAAACAAAAAAACAATATATTTAAAATATAATTTACAATATAATAGCAATTAATATTTTATTATTTCGTGCCATAATTTATAACATAAAATAATAAAAAATTTTAATATTCTATGTACTTATAAAACTAATATATTTTATCTTGTATTTTTATTTTGATTGGCAGCAATGGATATATAAACAGTCATTATATAACTTATGTCAAAAAAATCTTTAGATGGGAAATATATAATGACTTAGCAAGAAAAATAAAAAAATTCCTTAAATATTAAAATTTACCTACATGTATTGATTTATATTTCATTGTAATTTTTTCTGTTTTTTATTTCTTGGAATAAACGCCAAAGTTAGCTCACGAACAGAGAAATACGTAATAAATTCAATAACATTAACTATAAATATGTATATTAATGTTTATTTACGTCCCTGAAACGTGTTGTTAAAGATCATTGATCGTTATAATAAAAAAAACCTTCAGGTGGTATTATAAAAAAAAAAAAAATAACTATAAAAGCATACAAAATAATTACATTAAATATAATAACAATAACATAAGGCAAATATAGTCTAAATACTAAACAGATTTAACAATTACTTAATCGATTAACTTTAATAATAAAAGAAGTCAAGACCTGACTCATTTTTTTGTCTAAAAATCCTATCAGAGGAGTTATTATGTTCATAATTAGTAGAGTGGGTTTTGATATAAAAACTATGATTTGCTCGTGAGTTATATTAAGGTATATTAAAAGAAATGGGTTCTAAAAGAGGGAGAGGGAAAAAATTTATTTTTCCATTACATAATTTAGAGAGAGTTATATAAGTAATTTTTACGCCAAGTGGATAACAGATAAAGATTAATTTGGCCCTCAACTGAAAAACTTTTTTCCGGGAAAAGTGGGAAGATCCAAATTCTAAAAACTTGCTTCCAAATAGTTCCAAATTAGCTCCAAAATATTGGTTAAGGTTTGAAATTAATAGGAAAAAGTGGGGGTCAACTTCACGTACGTAAAAAAAAAATATTAGGTTTTACTATACTTATAACATAAATGTATGATTAAAAAACAATGGTATATTATTTTTATAAAATCAATCATAAATCATAAGGCATTGAAAATTAAAACATTAAAGTGTAAAGCATTAAGAATTAAATATATTTTCGATTAAAATGGAAAGCGTGTTATATAACTATAATATTATAGCCTTTCGTTCGTTTTGATCAATATATAAATAATAAAGTACGAGAAATTTTTAAATAATTTAACTTTTTGACATGAAGTTGAAAAAATAAAATGTAACTGTATGTAGTTAAAATGTGTAGTTCTCAAAAAAACCATGTTTAAGTTTTCGATGTTACTTTACGACTAAATCGATTCAGGTGTACAATATTGCCATTCAAAGAGAACTAAACGTAAGAGGCCTGCTGTACAGAGTTAGCTTATACTATGAAGGGTTCCAAGAGCACCGGGGGCTTAGGAGCCATTTTAGTAAGCCAAATAAAATTTGAGTAAAATATTAAAAGCTTATTTTGTAAGATAACTTTTGTATAGGAAGGCGATATGGGTTATTCCTTTTAAATAAAACCTAGTTTAAATTATGGGATAAAATATACCTATCTGTAATATAATTGCACACAATTAAGTACCTATTCATTATTTATTAAACATTTTAATATTGCCATTTAAATAAGATTTTTTTCTAGAATTTAGAATTATTTTTTTATGACGGTTTTATTAACACTTTACAGCTTAAAATTTGAAGCTTTAATTTCAATTATTCGGAGCCCCCCAAACATAAAGGGACCCTGAGCACGTGCTCAACGTGCCCATAGGGTAAGGACGGAACTAAACCTGTAACGAGATATATGGAGGGAAACGCAATGGCCCACACAAATTGAAAGTGTGAAATTGAAACCAGTGTCGTACATCACATAATAATATAACAACAATCTGCAGTTATGGACAAATAGAAATGCAGTGTGTAACATGTTTTACCCTCCTCCCACCAAACCGCCAAGGCCACGCGGTGAAAACCGTTTGCGCGAATCGCGTTTCTAATCGAAAATGAAAATTTACAAACCTAACAACATGTAATAGCATTGAGCGCCACTAACAAAACCGGCATCTAGATTATTATTCAAACCAAATACATAGGTGACAAAGTGGTGGGGGGCCGGGGGATTATGACCTACATAAATTTTTATATCAATGTGGATATAGATGATATGCGAGACTGAACGGAAATGAGCCGTGCGCCGGGTACGCGGAAACCAGTTAAGCCTGTTTCTGAAACTGAAAATCTGCATCAAAACGCAATAGCATTCGCAGGGTACGACCGACAATCATTCTGTACGCGAACGCGGTCGCGTGTGTGACTAACATCGTGGTTGTCTGGGTACAAGAAAAAATATATATAAGAAGCAGTTGAAACGCTGTACGTTATTACGACGACGATTTTGACAGGTTCAAACAATCAACACCCTTTGAGTGATCGCTACGACAGGCGTTTAATAGGAGCGATGATCATGCGCACGACGGCGGTAACGGTCATAACTGTGTGTTTCGTGGTTGCAAATTTCGCGGCAAGAGCGGATCATGTTGAGAAACCGTCCGACGAAATTGCTACGGCGAAATCGGATGTACAACAGCAGCAAAACGCGGACGCAGGAGTGGACATCAACGTGACAGCTCTCGCAGCCAGATTCATTCAGGATTACGTGACGCCCACTATTTGCTCGTACCTGCCAAGCTTTTGCGCCAAATACCAACTGCGTAAGTTCGAATCTTTTCGGTTGTAACTTATAAATATCGCGCGACTAAACCGAAAGTGATTAAAACCTTTTCACGTCGTACAACGTCGAATTTTTATAATAAGCATTTCAAAAACTGTCATGAACAAAGAATTCAGACTTTTAAAATATTGTCAGTTTTACAAGTTATTAATTATCTCGTGTTTCATATCACTAAAATATTAAATCTTTATATAAAATTAATTTTTACGCAAAAATGTCTTATAAATATAATTGTTTTAAAGTATGTAAATGAGCTTCGGCTAATTAAATTTCCGTAAATGAATTTGATAATCTCTCAAGAATATTGTTTTAAAATTACAATTATTATATATTTATTCTGATAAAATATTCAGTACCTATAGCTATAAACTTATACTAAGTACTTAAAGCGATTACGTTTCAAACACATATTCCATAATTATTTTTATTTAACTACAATTTAGTTTCACCAAGAAGCTGCACCCCTTATTTTATACATGTTATGTAATTTACTATATATTTATTAATGGTATAGAATAATTAGTCGATATTTGAAATTTTAAAATTACAATAGTTAAGAAGAATTAATTCAATTACCACACAGAATCGTCGTATGAAACCTTATAAATAAAATGAAATATTACTCCAAATGTTTGGAGTACAAAATTTAAAACAAGATAACCAAATGTTTTCTATAAATCTATAAGCTACTGTATAATTATCCAACTTAAATAAGTATAACAAATACAAATCACAAATATTCTATAAATTTTAATCAATTCAATTTAAGCTAATACAATATTATTGCAAGGGTATAAATTATTTATTTATATATAATGAATACATACAGAAATTCATATAATAACAAAGAATAATAATATAACAATTTAAATAATTGTAATTCCTACCAATGCATTAGAAAAAACATACACGAACGACATATACATAACCCTTTTAGTTTTCAAATTATGATACAAGTATTTCGAGTAATATATTCATAAAAGGTTTCCCACAGGTTTTATTTTTATAATTGGGTAATACAGTTTCCATATTATTCCTCAATCTCTTTCCCGGGAAAATGAACCTATTCCATTTACTTTCTAACTTTAAATTACATTTTTTCACAATGAAAAAGGTATAAATGCGATTTGGACAAAAAAGTATCTGATAAATAAAATCATCAACTAAATAATTTTAAAGTGGACATAAATATGGAAAATAAATACACGCCTAAAACAAAATTTATTCGACGAGAATAAGTACAAGTTTCTGATATATGACACAAAATTCAAATACGAATATCAATAATATAAAAAGTACTTTTAAATATAGAATTCAACAGTTAAACAATCCAAATGTCACGACACAATATAAATCGATTAAGACGGCCTCCGTCTTAATACCTATTTGACTGATTATTTCTTTAGAGTACAATGCGTGTCATGGATCATAGTACTCGTATATTCTATAACATGGTTGCCGCTTCAATTATTATAATATGATTATATTATTATCTATTGATTTTAGCAGTTCATTAGAAATTAATTTTGTTTTATAATTTATTATACCAACTCATTATCCTATTGGCTATTATAGTTAATTGTAACAATAACATGACTTTATAGAAATCTAAAATAGTGTTTTACTTTACGTCTTTACTTACTCTTTAGTATTTACTATTTACCAATGCACTTTTTAAAAAAAGTTTTAATTTAAAATTTTGATTTGAAATTTAAATTTTAAGTATTAAGAATAATTATTATACCTTAAGTGCATTCCTAAATTCAGGATATTGAATATTCATTGTGACAATTATAAGTTAGGTATAAAAAAAAAAATTTATCAAAAACGTTATTTAAAAACAATTTAGAAAAATAACGATTTTAAAAACGTTAAACAAAAACGAAAACGAAAAAATCAAAAACGTTTTCTATCCCTGATTAAAAAAGATTTCTTATATTTACGAAAAAAAACAAAAAATAACAATTTAATCCCGAGAGAATAATATATCACATGCTAAAATTAGGACTTGAGGGAGATCCATACCTCCTGACCCTCTCCATTCCTTCGTAACCTCCACTATCGACAAATAACTCGTTTTAAAAACATTACTAAAATTATACACACACAGCAAAAAAGCAAATGACACAAAAATAACAGTACAGTTAAAAAAATATTAAAATACCTATGCTCGAGTTATAGAATTAATTGTCTTGGATTTTCTTCTATTATTAAAGCATTATAACTACATGTTATTTTTCTTACGCAGAAAGCCGAGGAATCCAGAGTTACTTGGCCACAGCTGGAACTCTATTCGCCGGAGTGTTGGGTATCATACTGACGAAAATCAAAATTCTTATGGTCCTTTCGATAATGACCACAGTCATCGGGAAAATGTTGATGCTCTACGCTTTCCTCAAGTCCGATCACTACCACCACAAACCTCATCACGTGCCATTCGTTAAGTACACAAAAGACAAGTACTACATTAAACACTCACCCTTGGAGCATTCTCAAGATTTCATTGCTGAATCACACTACTCCCCTTACCAAGGTCACTCGCCGAGTGGAGTGAGCTACTACAAACGATAACGCACAACTGCACCGCAGCAGTTGCTGCTTCTATAAGACACGATGAGATAATCTATTGTGTTGCGGATGAATCCAAAACAATCATATAATTTAAATACGTTTCTTTGAAACCCCTAACTTATTTATTACTTTTAAATATTTATATTTATTATTAATATACATATTAAATATATTTATAAAATTTATATATTTAATATATATATATGTATATCATGTGGTTGCAAAGCAGTTTAGAGATAAACGAGAATAAAAACCAATACGTTATCGAGTTCTTTGGGCAACAATGAAATTTATTGACCAGCAGTCCAGCTAAATTTGAACTACCGATAGAATAGCATTAAAAAAAACTACGAGCAAATGAACAAATTATTTTTCACTTTGTTTTATTAATTACAATTACTAAACGCTGTATATATTATATAAAGTATGCATCGTTATTAGTATAAACATAATAATTTTATTATACTTACATACCATTATTTTATGATTTATTGTTGAAATATTATTTATTTAACTATAAATCTATTATACTGAATTGTCCACATTTCATTCATCAAATTTTAAATATGCCATATTTTTATAATACTAGTCTTATAATAAAAATATTAGTAATATTATTTATAGAATTGTATATTAATTATATATATATTATATTATATTTATTAAATATTTTATAGAATCAAAAATTTGCATAGGAAAATTTATAACCACAAAGGACAATAATAATCAGATATTTTTTAATACTAAAAAGTAAGTTGAATTTTGAGTATACATTACACAAGTGTTGTTTTATTTTGAACAAATAAAATGTTTTAACAGTAGGTACCAATGGTATGACACAAATACTATTAAAAATTTTGCAAAATATTATAATAATTTAAAAATGTAATGAATCAAAATGTAAAAGAAATATTATTTTTAATACAAAAAATAATGTTATGAACTATTTTTTAACAGAGATATTTAAAATTCTATGTTCTTATGCATTATACATTGTATCAGTACATATTTTTTTAGTGAGGTTTAAAAAAAAGGATTACACACAACAATAAAACAGTTATTATTTTATTGGTCACTAAAACTAATTAAACAAAGTAGAATGTAAAAAAATGAAACAAACATAAATTAGTGAGTACCTACTACACATATATGATTTTTAAAGTGTATTCAACCAAAATTTTAATAATAGCACGTGAGAAAACACTGAGCTAGATAACTAAGTATAATTAAATAATAGAATCAAAGTAATAATTTAGTATACAATGTTTTTAACAGAAAACTATTTGGTAAAGTATTATAGGAGCATGTTTAATAACATTTTTACTGAACATATCACATAAAAGTTTAATTTTATTTGGATATGACATTATTTAAATTAACAATTAACAAATATACATTTAAATATTTGAGTAGAAAAAATTAACTTTGGTGAATAAAATACAAATAAAATCAAGAAAAAATATACTGTAGTATTTTGGACAAAAAGCAACAAACTAGATATTATGGATGAATGTTAAAATTGTAAATTATAAAAATCACATATACTCAGTAATACTTACTTAATGTAAGTAAACTTATATAAGTTAATGAGCATTAACAACACAATAATTGGAAATGACTGTTGGATTAAATATCAATTAATAATATAATGATATACTCTATAATGATTTATTATTAAATTAAACATAATTTTTTGTGTTTAACTTACTACTATCTTTCACATTCATATAATATAAAAACATAACACTTTAAAGTTATAATATAAAGTACATGCTCTTAAATATGTTAGACTAAAAAAAATCACTCAATAGTTAGGTATAATTACTAGTTTAATGTTGTAAATGGTAAATGCAAGAGGTATAGTCAAAATACAATATTCTACTTACATATAATATTATATATATTTTTCATATTCCAAAATATTTGTTCCAAATTATAAATGACAAAGAATTAATAAAAAATTACTAACTAAACATTTTTAAAGGAATGAATAAAAACTGTCAACATTTCTTTTTTCTGTTAAAATGATTGAAAAACATATAAAAATCATATGTTTATTAAAATAAACTGATAAAATTATAAAAACAATTAACTACCATAAAATATATTTTTATAATTCACTACTACAAAAATGTTTGTACAGGGGTGGTAAGTTATGAAATGTATAAGTACATATTGATATACCAGATAAGATGCAATATGTCTTTGTTGAAATTGCCATAGCATATAACATGAGCATAGATTTGTGACAAATATTTACGTTTTGAAAAACTAAGTATAGTGTTGATCTTACATTGTTGGTTTGAACCTAGTTATTGGCAGCCTGACTATTTTTCTTTTTGAGCATATAACCTTTCAGAGAAAAATATTACCATTTCTTCTGAAAAGACTGTAACTATTGTACATCAGACTAGGCAAATAAGTCAATCAACGATTGGTATTGTGTTAGTTTTTGGATAATCACCATAGAAAATTTTTATTTGGAATAGGTATAAATTAATTTATTTACTGTTTGATGTTTGCAAACATATTCACATGAACATGAACACTTTGTACAAATACTTGCTTATATTCCACCCAGTTTGTGGAGCAAGATGTTACTATTTGTATAGACATTAAGTTATAAAGATTAAATGAAATATTTAATTATTGTAAATTTTTTTAATCAATATTTAAATATTTAATTTATAACTATAATTTTTGAAATTCAGGAATTAATATCAAAAACAAGAAATAATATTTCAAGATCAACTAATATTCAAGCTAACTTATATTAGTTCTAATTAAATTATTATTACTATTAATTTTATTTTTTTTAGCGATTGGTAGGTTGGTTTACAATTGCTTAGTTTTGTCAATAACATATACAGTCGAGTAGCGATAACTTGAAAAACTTAACAACTCAAATTGTTTTATTTCCCTAGAAAACTCTTCCCCTATAAATTAGTTAAATATCTCAAATATTACATATCTAGAAAGTGAATTTTTATCCCCCTTTAACTTCAATGTATCGTGACTCAACTGTATTAATAACTACAAAAAGAAATGCAAACCCTATTCATCAACTTATTTATTTTTAAAAATTGTAAAATTTATGAGTGTTTATATTGTATATTCCAATCATACATTTTCCCTTCTTTAAAGATAACTACAAATATAATATGTATATATTTTATTATTCAATTATTTAAATTTTTGTATGATCAATAAAAAATAATATAATATTTTATAAACTAAATAAGAGTTAAATATTATTTTACAAAACCCTAATAAAGTAAACTGTAAATCATCAAAAGATTCATCATGGAAATATGTTGTTTTTTTTATGAAAACTTATAATTAACTAAATAAATTCCTGTTAAATGTACAATGTATGTTTTGAAAACATTTACACTATAGAAAAATTAAAAATCTCCTTTAATTTACTCAAACTTTTTACCTCCAAAACAGATAAATTTGATTTCATTAATAAATTAATAAAGATAAAATCATAAGATAAGTGATAAAAAAGGATAAAGTATACTAAATATAGCAGCTTACCTTCACTAGACACATCAATACGCCTGAACTGCTTATTAACTTCTAATAAATATTTAAATTCTTCATTGGTAAGTTCCTCAGTACACTCTTCATCTTTGATAATTATACCCTCTAAAGGGCCAAATTGGGTACGTTTTTGAATTGTTTTACGTGCAAATACACCAAACTCTACAAATAAGTATTATAATTATATTAATATTAGACAAACACCTAAGGTGATACTTTGTACCACTTACTATTTTCGTCAGTTTTAATTTTCATAATTCTCAAATGTGTAGCAGGTAATGATGCTCTAGCTCTGGTTTGTACAGCTAGATCAATAATACTACTTACTTGATGTATTGGACAGTTGGATTCATTTTGATATAGTTTATTACAATCTTCACACCCTGATAATATGACATTTTATTTTATTCTCTACTGTTAATAAGTTTAACAATAAAAAGTTAAAAAGTATAAAAAGATATAACATTTACATTAATATAAGTAATAATTATTAAAGAAATTTATTATTAAAGACTATTAAAAGAATAGTTTAGTAATTAAGAATATTTTGATTTTATTTATGGTCATATTTTTAATTTTATTTTTATAAAAACATTGAAATTCAGAAAAATATTATAATATTAAAATATTTCTGTCAATAGGTTTTGAATAGATTTATCAATAAAATATCAATACATATTATACAATGTGTACATTTAAAATTTTGTTTAAATGTATATTTATAAAATATTGTTATAACATATATTACATTTTTATACCATTGATACTTACAATATTCTATTTCAGATGTTGATTTTTTATTGATTCTACTTATGAAGTTTATACTTATATCTTCATCAATGCATTGAGGTTGTCTAACAAATTCTTCTGCTATTTTTTCAATTGTTTCTTTTGACATTCTTTGAAATCCTTTAAAAATAAAATTTCAAAATATATAATTATAATAATATAAAAAATTATATTTAAAAAAATACCAGAGGTATGCTGTTGATGGTGATCAACATCCAGTGAAACACTTTGAGATCCTTCGTCAATTCTATCTTTTAAATTGCTAGTGTTGAGTGGTATTTGAGATTCATCAACAACAGCTATATCACAAGTATCTATATCATCCACTAATTCCTCGTGATTTACTAGTAATTCTACATTATGGTGTGATTTTGGAGATGATAATAAGCTTAAATCATCCATAGACACAATTTTTTGAGCAATATGATTATCTTGAGCAGATCTAGACTGCGGAACTACATAATATTCATTTTCATCATTACTTAATACATTATTTTCTTTCAAAGTTACTTCAATATAACTAGCACCATTTTCTGAAAATAAAAACCGGTTGTTTCCAGTTTCCAAAATCATATCTTGATTACTACCCATATTGTTGACAAAATTATTTGTTTGTTTGGGAATAAATGATAATTGATCAATTTGAACTAAGGAATTATCATGTGATAAGTTATCCATAACTGAATGTGTATTAGACACTTGATGCATATTGTTTGGCTTAAGGTGATATAAATCATTTTGAAAATACTGTTCTGGCATTGACACCAATGTTGCCACTTCAGACATATTAGTGTATTCTGGTAACATCACAGTTTGAGGATGTTTGGTCATTCCATAATCTGTTGGTTGATGATTATCTAGAAAAAAATATATTATGTAACAATAATTAATTAAATAATGAAATGGGAAAAAATATATAGTCACCAAGAACTGTCATCGAAGTCATGTCACTATTGGTTAGTACATCGTAAGGCCGACCATTAGTATCAGTTAATACAATATTATCATCGGTAAATGTGTCTTTAATGAAGTCAATATTTTTAAACTTCATTCCACCAATCTAAAAAAAAAAATGTCTAAGTATTTATTTTATGAATATAATTGAATCATTTTTATAATACAATTATCTATTATATAAGGGTTAATCTCACAATGTTTTTTATATAAATACAGCAAATACACACAAACTAATAATTTAAACAAAACTTAAAATGTAATTAGATAGGTAAGATTATACAAAATCATAGTTTTTTTAAACATTTTTTACCAACTATTAAATATACTAAAATAAGTTCTATAAATAATAAAATCATTCAATTATTAATTTTAGTTCATTAAATTAAAAATTGAGAATAATGTAAAATTATTTTTCTTTGAATAACATATACATTATCAATATAACAGTTAAAATTTAACCATAATTATTTAATAACAATATCATCCTACCTACCATTATACGATTATGTTATCTAAACTTGTTTTCTAGTATTTTCTTACTTTCTTAAAAAATAAAAATTTAAGTACAAAAGTTACATTACCAGAAAATGGCCAGTATTATCTTTTAGTCCAGAAGGACCCGGTCTATTGATATCGTCTTGATCAAAATCATCTTGACACCAATCAGTACTTGAACCTTGTTTTAAATCCATAATTGATGAATACTAGAAAATATAAATAGGTATTTGTTTTATTTCAAAAGATAAACTATATTATTATTCTATAATCATCCAATATAGATATAAATATAATTCTTGAGTTACAATTTGATACCGTAACCATTTAAAAACTTTAAATTAAAATGATAATTTTTTTCAAATAATATTAAATTTAAAATTTTAAGTTTTTATAATATTATAGTCTTTAAACAATATTTTTTTCATTTTAATAATAAAACAAATAAAAAAGCTTTACTTATAAAAAACACAAAGTATTAAAAGACAACAGTCCAGCTAAAATTTGAGATTATTTATAATAAAAAATATATAATAATTAAGTTATATATTAAGATAAAATCCTAGATAAAATTATTCAAAATAAACAGACAATTAATGCTCTTATGAAAATAATGCTATACAGGCCCATTATCAATATTAAGTATGCAAAATTATATTCCATCGTTAGCATAAAATTGAAAGTAGTTTGTAAAAATGCATACATTTTAAAGTATATTAAGGTGATGCACAAATACACAAGAGTTAATATTATTAATTACTATAACCATAGAATATCAGTTGATACTGTCAAATAATATAAATATTGTAGACTTACCAAAGATTTCACAATTTACATATAGTTTGCATTTATATTCAGAATTCGATTAAAAAAGTTATCATGATGTATTAAACTTTTTACAATAAATTCACTAGATTTTCACATAATATTGACAATTATAATGCGGGTTTGAACAAGTAAACGAGAAAAACAATAAAAACAAGAAATTCAATTGTATAACTATTTAAACAGCACACGAATGCTGGAATATTTTATGATACGTTTATCACTAGATAATCGATTTATTGTAACCAGTGTCCACAACAAAAATTTATAAATTACATAATATAAACATATAATTATCTAGTTTTATACATTTGTGATCCACAATGATCACAACCGAAATCGGTAAACCGCGACCAAAATTTATCAGTTTTGATAATCGAAAACATGTGATAAGACAGGGCCCATCAGCTGACCACTGATAATATCGTAATCAAGGGTTCCGAGTTCCGTCCACGATTAAATTCTTATATTTACAGCACCACGTTATCATTTTGTTCTTATCACTCTATGCCAATGTAGTAAAAATTATAATATATTTTGTATAATACAAAAGGTATATAATACAGTGGCGGATCCATGGGAGAGTTTTGGAGGTCAGAACTCCCCCCTATAAACCTGAGATGGTAAATTAACTTTTACATGAAACACGGTTTTTTCTTAAACATTTTTATATTTTAGAATTTTGACTTGGAAATCATATTAATAGTATGTATAAACACTATAAACGTATTATACACACGCTGCACACACACGTCATAATATTATGATCATATTTAGATACTTTACTACCTACTACTTTGATCATTTTTGCTTTGGAACATATTATTTAGGTTTTTCTACAACGGTTGATCCTAAATCGGTCGTCTGGTCCCCATAATTGAGATAAAAGCGATATCATTGTTTGTATTCAGAGTTTATTTTGGGTATAGGTACCCATTGCATTCGCGGCTCACCGATCATTTAACACAAGCACCTTATTGTGTAGAACTACAGAATAAATGAAATCAGAATGGTCACTTCTAAATGTAATCAAAATTCAGCCACCATATTTTTGGAATACTAATTTCTTATCACACTAAAAGTGATAACATTTATTCTATAATTGTTTTAAAAACATTGACGTGCACATGCTTCATCATAGTTCATTGTATTGACTCAATGAATACTGTATATTAAACCTTGTTAATTTCTAAATAAATAATTTTCGTATTTATTGTACATCAAAAAAAGTTATTTATTTATTTACAATGGGAGGAATGAAGTGTGCTGTGAAAGAATTTAAAAATTCAATGAAAATTATTATTGGCATAGTTCAATCACAGAATAAATTTAAATTATTCCGTTTCACAATGTTTCTAACGGCAAACTGGCATATATTTAATGACTTTAAACGATAAACTGAAATATAAAATTAAATTTCAAGAATTTTATGTAAATGCTACAATACATCAGCAGTTATAATTAAGTAAATTATTAGTCTATGTGTTAGGTGATCGCACTGTTGGGACTCCAAAACGATGGCCGAATGATTTTTGAACTCCCTTATGTTCCTTGTGTAAAATTTTATCAGTGACCATTCTGATTTAATTTATTCTGTGGTAGAACTATTAGTTATTAATTAATAGTTGGTCATTGCCCGTTGGTGTCCGACTGTTTGGCTTACAACTCGTTCATTCGTTTATATTTGACATTTGTATTTCATTATTTTTGTTTTATTTTAATTTGACATAATTCTAAGATGTCTAAACATTCCATTATGGTAAGATATTTTTAAAATTTAATTTTTAGTATACCTAAGTGATTGGACAGAAAATATTCTAATATCTAATATTTATGTTCCTATATTAGTTCCTAGTTCCTAAATTACACTGGTCCACAAACAAATTTCATCAGAGATGATTCAAACTGAATCAAATAGATTTTTTCATGCTGATTTCAAATATGTTTTCCATTTTCTTCTAGCACGTATAGTTTTTAAAATGAAATTGATTAAAATGTGTTTTATGAATACGTATTATACTGTGTAGTACCTATAATGTTGTATACGGATTTAGATACGTATATTGTATCGTTGTACTCGAATGTATTTTAAAATATAATCTAATCTATACTATTATCTTTATGACATTTGCTTATGATATAACTTCAGTATATAATGTACACCCATGTATTATCTAATGTTATAGTCAATTAGTGCGATATTACAAACACGTGTCGTGTGTTTTAGTAGTGGACAAACGGAGTGTATTAATTCATTACGAACCGCGTATTTATTTTAATTTTATATTAAGCGTTATTATGCCTCGTCAGTGTAAAAATCATCCAGATATTTTTTGTTATGTTTGTGGATCGTTTGCAATTAAATCACAACGGCGTAAAATTACAAATGATCTTCGGAATATTTACAAGTTATACTTTGGTTGTCCTCTTGGTGATCAAGATAAAGCATGGGCACCACATACTATATGTAGTGCTTGTTCTAATGGACTGCGTGATTGGTTGAACAAAAGAAAATCGTCTATGCCATTTGCTATACCAATGATATGGAGGGAACAAAAAAATCATCACAACGATTGCTACTTTTGTAATGTAAACGTAAATGGTTTTTCGAAAAAAAATAAACATAATATTAATTACCCTAACTTAGACTCCGCAATTAGACCAGTTATACACAGTGCCTCGTTACCTATTCCAATACCTCCAGAAGAAGGTCTTAATTTGAGTATAGAAATGGAATGTGATCAAGATAAATTTGATCATCATGAAGAATGTCCAGGAGATGCAGACTATACGCCCGATGAAGATAAATCATCTCCTCAAACATTTAGTCAAGACGAATTAAATGATTTGATTAGAGATATGAGCCTATCTAAAGAAAAATCAGAACTTTTGGCTTCTAGACTTAAACAAAAAAATTTGCTCCAGAAAAATGTTCGAGTATGTCATTACCGAAATCGAAACCGTGATTTGATTTCATATTTTAAGGTAGACGGACCTCTCTGTTATGCTCATGATATTAATGGTCTTTTTAAAGCATTATCACAAGATTATATTATATCTGATTGGCGGTTAGATATATAATATATAGATTCTTCACAACGAAGCTTGAAAGCTGTTTTATTGCATAATGGTAACCTAAAACCGTGCATTCCAATTGCACATTCGGTACATTTAAAAGAATCATACGATAATATGAAAATATTACTTGATGCTATTAAGTACAATACTTACAAATGGAAAATCTGCGGTGATCTAAAAGTTATTGGCATGCTTATGGGCATGCAAGGAGGGTTCACAAAATACTGTTGTTTTTTGTGCATGTGGGATAGTCGTGCTATAGCAGACCATTACATTAAACAAAATTGGAACCAACGATTTTTTTATGAGCCCGGTACAAATAGTGTTCAATCTATGCCTTTAGTAGATCCAAAAAATATATTTTTACCTCCACTACATATAAAACTGGGTTTAATAAAAAATTTTGTGAAAGCCATGGGTAAGACAAATTCTGAAGGATTTCAGTATCTTAAAGAAAAATTTCCAAATGTAAGTGCAGCTAAATTGAAAGAAGGTATATTCATCGGACCTCAAATTAGAGAACTTATAAAAGACAATGATTTTGTCCGTCGTCTTAATACAGCTGAGCAAGAAGCATGGCAAGCTTTTATATGGACTTGTGAAAACTTCTTGGGAAATCACAAAGCGTTTACATATAAGAATGGAATTCAAAATCTATTAAATGCATATAATAAACTAGGATGTCGAATGTCATTGAAAATTCATTTTTTACATTCACACCTCGATTTTTTTCCGGAAAACTTGGGTGCGGTAAGTGATGAACAAGGCGAACGATTTCATCAAGACATTCAGTTAATGGAAACTCGTTACCAGGGTTTTTGGAATGAAAGTATGTTAGCGGACTACTGCTGGATGCTATATCGTGACGTACCTGATAAAAAGTATAATAGAAAATCATTTTCACAACATTTTTAAATATTTAGATATGTAAACTATTTGCTTTTTTAATTTAATTATTTTACTCTGCATATTTTTTTGAATTAATTTATAGCGTAAGTAATATGTTCATGTAATTTTAATCATTGAAAAAACAAGTAAAAAAAACATTAAATATAGTAATTTTATTTCGAAGTTTATGCTTTACCTATAAAAAATAAAATAGCTATAAGTAAAAAACTAAAGGTGATAGAAAAAATCTAATTACATATTTAAAATCGGAATAAAAAATTGGTTTGGAAAAATGTATATTCAACCCTGATGATTAAAAAAAGTTTAATTTTGTAGACCAGTGTTATTATTATTATTATTATTATTTATTATTAGAGGAAAATTCTCTAACACAGAGATTCCCAAACTGTGGGTCGCGACCCAAATATGGGTCTAACACATAAGTAGACTAAAAAAATTAATTATTTTTTTTTACCTAAGTCAAAAAAATTAATGTCAACCATATTTAAAAATAAAGAGATCAATACATATAGTAATCAAAATGACAGTGATAAGATTAAATTTATATAAATTTTCTGACCCCCCCCCCATAAAAAGTTCCTACCTACGCTACTAATATAATATATTATGTTTTTAAGTACCAATCATTTTACTGTAGAAACTTATTGGTTATGTTATTAGATTTGTATCGTTGTATTTGGATTTACGATGAGATCCATTTACATATTCATAATAAACATGCTCTTTAATCAAGTTTTTCCTACGCCACTGTATTCTATTTTTAATAGGTATCTCATATTTTTAAATAATTTTACCCGTTTTTTACAAATCTATGCACATTTTTATTATTTACTTTCGTATTTTACTAATTTGGCTGTTATAAAACTAAAACCTAATTCTATTAAATTTGTTGGGAATGATTGAAAATCGTTTGTTTCCCCTTGAATGGGAGTTTTATTAAATTTTTTCTAAAACTTTTAATAAAAACAATTAAAAAATCTTAGCTTATATAAGTCGGGGACTTAGAGAAATATATATTAATAATGGAATATCCAGATTTGGGTATTATTCCGAATACAATATTCAGAATACTTTTTAAGTATTTCGAATACTTTTTAAATACTTTTTTTAAAAGTATTCAATGAAGTATTTTGAATACTTATAACGAGTATTCTGAATACTGTATTTTAAATACCGTCAAGTTGTCTTTTTTTTTAAATGATTTTATTTCTTATTCGTCGTATCTTGTATAAGCTAATATGAGGTATTTATTATTGTTGTAAACCATAAACTATAACAGTTATGTAATATAAAATTACAATAAAATAAAATATATTTAGTCTACAATTTCAAATATTTCTGTTGAGTGAATATCAATTATTTTTATATTATGAAAACTAGAAGTATTTTAAAAGTATTCGGAATACTTTTGAAGTATTCTAAATAATGTATTCGGAATACAATTTGTATAAAGTATTTGAATACATATTTGGAATATTATTTTTTTGTAAGTATTTGAGTATTTATTCTAAATACTTTTAAAAAGTATTTTACCCAAATCTGGGAATATCCCATTCATATTATTTATTCCTCACTAGTTCATAAACTACAAAATTGAACAAACATTGGAAACATTTCATATAGGCGAATTTCAAAATAATACGGACTGTAAATTTTTACTATCAAAATAATTGAAAGTAATTTTCAAAATAAATATATATTTAGATTTAACAGTTGGTTGATGTTTAAAACTTCGAAATACAAACCAATCACATTACATATGGATAGGTGCGTATTTGGAAATGAAAAAAAGGGGGAAGTGTAAAGGATAGTGAACTACTACCATGATTATTTGGGCATGACGATTTGTACAGTCTTTCTTAAGCCCAATTTTTTAAATTAATGTAGCAGTGCAGTGCGGTTATGAATTAAAAAATACCAGACTTGACCACAATGTAGATTTCACTACTTCGATAGGCCGAATTTTTTGAGAATTTGGAACTTGGCCTTTTTTCACCGTAAGGTTTTTTTTGGGGAATCAACATTATCTGTAAAAACATCATAATATTTAATTATTATTAGTATCTTGTCTAATAATGAAACATGCAGACCAAGTGTTCACTTCTAATTAAATAAAGAACTCATTAAAAACAATGAAGGATAGTAATCCTATAGTAATCAATATTTAATAGTAAAAATAACAAAATATAAACAATAAAATAAAATTGAAAAAATACTTTCAAATAAATAATAATAATAATAATCATATTTTAATGAAAGTAAATATGGTGTATATGGTCAAAACAAATGTATTATATGCATCTTACATTAAATCAAACGAAACGTTAAAATATTGTTTTCTCATCAAGTATACATTATGATATTACGTGAACCGAACCGACGTAGATTTATACGAACGGAGTCTCGACCTGTGTTTAACTATAGTGACAATTATATTACTTAATATTATTACTTCCGTTTGGCAAAAAAATAAACAAATGAACAAATAAAAAATAAAAATCCTTATAGCATAGACCCTTGGAAAATTACTCTAATATAATCACCAACAACTTGATTGAAGTGTTGTTTGAGTCGTTTGTACTACCGCCGACCGGTCATGTCTGGTCGTTTACTTTACTTCCATGCACGTGAGCCGACTTTTCCGTCAGTTTTTGAATGTTAGTCCGCCCAGAAGACTCATCATTCGAACCGTTCCTGCGTCGATTGTTCGCGGCCGAATTTACGAATTCGATCAGTTTTCCGAACACGAACTTCTGCAGCTCCCGTTCCCGTACGAAGTCCACCTCGTCGTCGTGGCCGACGGTCCGGGGCATGGCACTCGCTATTATTGCGTCCAAATTCTCCGCGAAGTAATCCAGATCCGGTACTAGGTTCGAGTCGCTCGCAGAGATCGGATTCACCGTCGTGCCGTTGGTCGGTGCGCAATCGCAATCGCCGGTGACTTGCGATCCGCCGGCAGAAGGACTCGGGCCCGAGTACCGCCAGCCCATGGCGTCGGTTTTCCGCAGTATTCCCTTGACAGGATCGTTCACGTGCTCGTTAACCTTCACGCTGAAAAGGAAATCTACGTGGTTGCAGTATGGGTTGTCTACCGAGAAGACGTCCATCAGCTGGGGAAGTTGGTCTTTCAGTCTCATCACATCCTGTGCATCGGTGCAAACGGTTATACGATTGATATTTTCCGAAAAGCGAAAATCGCACAAAAATTACTCACCTCCACGTCGGCTACTAGATCGTTTTTCCCGTATATCAACGTGATGGGCACATGGATGGATTTCAAGTTGTACGAAGGAGCCTCGGTGACATTGTAACGCTGCAGGTTCTCGGCGGCACCGTAATCGTATTGACTGAAGCTGTCTAAATAATTTTAAATCGAATACACAAATCCGTATGCAATATATTTGGGTTTTTCACATTTATTGAACGGTGGTTTCGTCACTTCATTCGGATATTTACCTTTCAATTTGAGCTGTGCGAAGTGTTCGACCACCATGGACGACGTTCCTGACGGAAAATGTCCCATGATGAGTGGAATTATTTTCTATAACAATAAACGACAACGCCACAAATTATTACCACGGCTCACTCGTTTTACCATTAGTATAAAAAGAAAATCGACAAATTCGTAAAATATTATATTTATTACAGTGTTAAAGTAACGGGGATCGCTGCCAGACACGAAAAATATCATGCTTCTTTGGCATATAAATTTCTGTGTTATTTTATTTCCGCACACCGTTGATGCGAAAAATGTTCTTAATCTGGAATGCGGCAATAACATTCCATTCGTCGTTTTTTTGAAATACTTTCTATAATAACAATAATTTAAAACAATTACTGAATACTAGTATACATTTTATTTTATTTTAATTAAGGGTCGTAGTCATACTCGGTTATTAGAGTACACATGTATCCGCATTACATGTACACGTGTATTAAATCTATTAATATCCGTGTTTTTAATACACGGGCATTTTTTACTGATACAAGTGTATTTAATACCCGTTATTCTTGTATTTAATACCCGTTACCCGTGTATTTAATACCCGTTACCCGTGTACTTAATACCAGCTTGTATGTATTTCCCGATAAGTAAATATCAGATACCCATTTAGTTATTACTTCAGGGTAATTAAAGGTATATTATAAAATTATTCAAATATTGGTATGGATTGTTTGGCTTTCACAGAAATTGACAATTTTTTTTAAACCTAAGTGGCTATTTCACTCTTATAAAAAATGATTTTAACTTGAATACTTTATTATATCTACTTATAATTACTTAATATTTTGACTTATTCTATCATAATTTACATAAAATGTTTTCTACATATGCCATCGCTCCAGCGCATACGAATTGCGTCCCTAAATGATATTTTGTCCGAGTTGCGACCGTGGTTTTATTACGACACATCCGAGTTGCGTCCGCGGTTTTGTCACGACACATTCGAGTTGCGTCCGTGGTTTTCTCGGGCCATGGGTTTTTCAGCAACTGTGAATATTGTTTAGTGATAAACTCATAAATAATCTCGATTATCATGGATATCTTATCTGTAAATACCACCTTACAATCAGAGTTGGGCAAATTTTATCTAGATAGTTAATCGAATAAAAATATATTTGAATAAAACATTATTCGAATGATTTTTTTACAATTCTTCGAATAAAAATTTATTCGACTAATTTTCAAACACAATTATTCGAATAAAAAAATTATTCGACTAATTTAGAAACAATATTATTTGAATAAAAATTTATTCGACTAATTTATAAACAATATTAGTCGAATAATAATTTATTCATATAATTGTAAAAAAAATCATTCGAAGAAAATGTTATTTAAATAATTATCTTAATAAAATTTTATTCAAATAACGCCCAACTCTGCTTACAATTTATTGTTAGAAATTAATTTTGTTCGTGTTAGCAATAGTCTTACTTTCGAAATCCAGATATTTAATATTTAATAATAGAGAAATCTCAATTATTACAATACAAAAACATAGAGAATAAAATAAACGGGTAATGTCGGGTATTTAGATACACGGATAATGTCGGGTATTTAGCTACACGGGTAATGCGGGTGAACGGGTATTTTATTTATGCGGACCTTAATCCCGTTTCAAATAAGAACACGTGTACCCGTGTAATTCATTACACATGTAATAGCGAGCACTAATTTTAATACAATTTAAAAACGTTTTTAGAGTGTATATTTCCCTACTAAAATATTAAAATTAAATTTTTTTTACATATATTGAACATTCATACATTATTTTAGATTTTATAGCAATTTTTTTGTGGTTTGATATGTCTTTTGTATGTTTCTATTTATTTATTTGTAAAATAAAGTATGATGAATAAATGTTATCTGATTCACAGTTTAAAAAAAATTATTTTTACAACAAAAGTACATCACAAAACTAAAATTCACTTAGTATTTCCTAGGATCATGTAAAACATACATATTAAACTATAAGATATATATATATATATATATATACAGTAAAACCTCGATTATCCGTGTTTGCGATTCACCGTACTCACTCTTCCGAAAATTTAAAAATAAGTATGGACTGTAGATATATGTAGTTATAATCAAACATTTTATATTACATAATACACAATATCGGCAATCGTATTAATGACATTTTTTACGATAATAATATGAAGATAAGCAATATTGTACATCGATTATTATATTTATCAAATCACCTTCAGTTTGCTTTTGTCCTTCGCTATTTTAAGCCCTAATAATTTCTTGTATACAATATAATGGATGTATGTATAACATTATTGTATGTATATTATGTATATTTCTAATTATAATTGAATCAAAATTTTTAAAATTTCGTTAATATAAAATTGTACCTACCTATGTATTTTTAATTATTATTAGTTTAAAATTTTCAAAATTTCATTATTACAAAAAGTCTCGATTAACCGTGATTTTCATTTATCCGTGTGACCCTTTCCCCATCATTACCCCGGATAATCGAGGTTCCACTGTATATATGTAACTGTATTATAAGTTTCAAACAAACATAACCACTATTAGATACAATATACTCGTATATATAATACACATGATTTAAAATCTTAAAATATTGGCTTTCTGATAGTCTTAATCGCTTAGGCCGCAAGTAACTTTATTGTTGTTACTTATTGGTGCATTACTGTGAAAGAAAAATATCATTTATAGATTATCATATTGAATATCATATATATATATATGGTAAACTAAAATATCAATATTTTATCATATATAATTAATATAATTTAATTTTTATACACATAATATGTAACTGTACAATATACACTGCGCATACGTACGTATTTATAATATTATATACTAACGTTTATCGTTTTTGCGTAAGGAGCAAGATATTTTATGGGCGATTTAATCTTAGAGAGATAAGCTACTGGTGCTAAACTTATTTGTGATCGGATCTTTGGCTGATATTCCGGTTTTTCCGAAGCCATAATGAAAAATACAGTAGTTCCCATAGAATAACCTATGTAATGAAGTTGCGAGGCATTTGTCTTTATCAAAATATAGTCGATTGAGGCTGGCAAATCGTACTTTCCGATCTCATGTAAGCTATAATCATAATTTAAAATGTAGTCAATTTATAATAATACTTTAATCGCGATAATGAATTGATTCAAAATCAGGTTAAATCCGTGATTCTTTTGATGATCAACTACTACGATCAAAATTATAATAATTAATTATAAGATTAATATACGAGTTAATATTTAATTTAATGGTATGAGGTTTGTTATTAACTCGACGTTTCAAGTGAATAAAATAAGGTTAGGACTCACAGAAAAGTGTAATATGATTGAATAAATGAATTAAGATGTAACGTGTTCAAGAATAATACAACCGATTCAAAAGCAGTAATTTCACCTAAAATTCCAAAAAGCTTTTTGTTTGTACGTCATCGACACGTGCTTTCTACTGTACGTGTTACCGCGGCTGTTTGCTAACCACACGTCGTATCCATCGTCAACTAATTGCATACCTATATTAACACAAAATCACACGGATCATCATAACATGTTATACGGTTGTATTTAATGCGATTCCCAAGGTTTATCGAGTTAATGCTAACACAAAGATTTGTTTTCGAATCCACTGATAACCCATTCGGCAGAAGTCGAGAGAAAGGCGTGGTGCAAGAATACTGGATGGTTTCTGGTGGGCCCCTTGCCACTCTTGTTTTTGGGCATTCGGTGGAGCTCTAGAATGTAACCGTCCTCGGTAATAACATTGTGGACTTCGACGGCGTACCCGTTTTCCTTAATTATATCTACCTAAAGAAAAAAAAGTAACCCAAAACGAGATCATATAGTTAGCTATATTTTCACCTGTAAATGACAGGTTAGATTAGGTTACAGGCTGTAATATGGGATCACGGGAAACTTATGCGAGTATCAATAGTGTATTATAAAATATCATAATTAATTCAATCATGATGAATGTAAAAATAAATAATAAGTATTAACTGCTAATTTGAATTGATTCAACTGTAACTAATTCAATACAAATTTCAAACGGTTATAAAAAAAATATTAATTAATTTTCTAAAGTTACACAATTACCCATAGTAAATAATTAACCTTGAATTTCAAGTCTTAACAAAGTGTAGTTTTAAATAGTTTGTATTGGAAAAAATATATAGGCTAAACTTGAATAATTTTGTTTACTTGCATAGTTTAGATAAATTATATCGATTTTGTTTATTTATGAGTAACATTATTTTGTACAATTGCTTCAAAAACTTTTTAAAAGTACAATCTATATTCATAATATTCTCAAAAGGTCGTAATAATTTTTTTAAAGATTTTTCACTGCTTCTAGTATAAAAATGTATCATATAATAAAATATGATAATTGTGTATTATACTCTCTTACGTTGGATGTAGTCAAAAGAAATATTCAGGAGTTAAGGTCAGATTGACATGGAGATCTAATCCATTTACATAATAGAGAGGAGTGGGAGAATTTTATATTGGCATCAAACGGCCTAAATGGTCTACAATGCTAAAAAAAAAATTTAAAAAAATACTATTTTACCACTAGAAACGTATTTGGAGTTTTGACGCCCCAAGTAAAGTTTTATTGCCACCCCTACGCACGTTTTATACGTTTTTCAAGAAAGATAATATTTATTATCTATGGATTTTACGCGGTCAACTTTTGATAATAATATTTATTCAAAATAAATATTATTATCATGGTAAAATTAAAAATCGCCATATAGTCACTATACAAAATCTTAAAATATTAAATTTTTTTGATTGACGAATGAAAATGTATGATGGATTATGGTTACAAAAAAAAAATACTGCCACCCGGGGCGATGGTACCCCCTCGCTTCCTTCTAAATACGCCTCTGCTAAAAATCACAATCAATTATATCAATTACACCGAAAATCGTAGGTAAAGAAAGAAAACTTATGGGATGGAAAAAAGGTATATATCTATTGCACCGGTATAAAAAGAGTATAATTTATAGGTACACATCTTTTGCGCCGATCGATATTCGAGTTAATACATTTTGTTATTACTTCATTGATTCATATATTGATGAAAATGCAACTTTTCCTCCGTATCTTTGGTCATCTTGTAACACATCAGCCGAGTGAACAACAAATGCCTGCGAGGCATTTCACTCAGCGTTTGGGAATTATTTTTATTCAATCCATCCAAATATTTTTGTTTTTTATGAAATTTTTAAAATAATGTAACGCAACAATCATAATACATGTTCTTTTAGTTATCACAAATAGACCAAACTCTACATTTATGTCAAAATAATAAATAGTAATATAGACATAAATCATTTTAATATTATAACTAAGAATTTTTTCAAAATTTGTAGGATTAGTGTAAATATATATATATATAATCTACTATTAGTGTAAATACCAAATATGTAGAATGAGATATGTTTAATTTTAATTTTAATTTTTGTTTTTTGCCATTATGATTTTTATTTGTACTGTATAGTTGTTATACCGGCGCAATAGATGTATACTATACAAGTAGGGTCTCGAATTCGGCGTAATTAACGAATACCGTAGCAAATATTTATTCGGAATTTCGAGCTGAGATGAGCAATATTACGATTATAAAGATATAATACTCACAGTGGACAAGCTAATGTTTTCATGCAAGATACCAGCTGTTGGCGCGGTCGTAGTATTGTTCATGGCGATCGCTGGTACCAACGAGAACAACAGTACAATGATTAAATGCTGAAAAAGCACGGCTATCAATGTGTATCGTGATACTGAATTTTCCATGTTAATCGTCATAATATTATTGTCTGCCCGAACCGAAGGTGCGAAATTTCGGAATCCAAAACGATCTTCACGATTGCCGATAAAATATATTAACACGAATACGAATAGTAAACCCACAATCGTGAACTTATCGGCAGCAAAACATTATCGTCGACCACCGTACCAAGTGATAAACACTAAATAACGACAACCCACGTAACTATTTCAATATTCGTTCTCTTTTATTATGAACAATTATGATAGACGAGCCGTCTGAATTTTTACGCCCTGTACACCGGCACGCCATCACGCGCGTGGCGATAATATAATAAGAATTACATTATCGACCGTTGATTTTTCTCGACACGTAACGAATCATTATTTTAATTGCATCCATGAGTATTCACCTACAGAGTGTCAAGCGAGGACTCATTAATTGCGTTAACTCTTGTGTGATAAAAAAATAATCGAATTCTGTTTTTAATAAATCGTATGACCGCGTAAAAGTATTAGATTTAATAGTTTTTTAAACAAATACAATAAAATACAAATACAATACAAATAAAATTTAAAAAAAGAGCTAGTCTCGGGATATAAAACCAAGAAGCCGGGTGAGATATAGTGACGAGTGAAAATGATTTATTTGAATTATGGTTCTTAAAAATTTGAATTCAATTTAACATTGCAGTTTTGAAAAACAATTCTGAACGAAGAATGAATTAGCTTTCATGTCTAAGTATAGATTGTTTAAATAATTTAAATTGTATTAATATACAATTATGAGTAAATAATGCGAGTAACTTTGATATCTAGTTAATTAAATCAAACTTTTACAAAAAAAAAAAATCATACTTAACTATAAACTTTATACTTTTACTTAATTTAATAATATCAGTAAAACTATTTATTATAATATGTATATAATACTAATATAAGTATTCAGTTTATGTTTTTAGTATCTACAGTTAATATTTTTAGACAATAGAATAACATCGGTGAAAACTATTTGCGCACATCACACCTTTTTTATAACCCATTTGCGCCCGAAATATTTTTAACAAAAATGTGTTAAACCCGTGCAACGTTGTTAAATTTTATTCTGGAATACAAGCCATACTATTTATTAATCTTATAAAGTTAAAACTTTTGTACATAGTGATGAACATAATCGAGTTACTGGCTATTGTCATATTGACTAATTTTTTTAAACCCAAAATGTTGAAAAAATTATAAAATTTGAACTATATTATTTAGACAATTATTATTTAAGTGTTATAATTTATATATATTATACTGATCTACCTAATTTAAGTATTTATCAAGATAAAAATAATCTATATTATTAATCACAATGGCAACGTTATATGCGAAATGGGCTATAAATCGGTAGGTAATACCTTATCTTTCGGTTGCATATGTCTATCCCTAGGAGCGTAAATATACTACTCTGGGGCGCAAATAGGCTACAGACAATAACATATCGTTACATTAAAATTCGATGAAATATCCAATTTTTTAAAATTTACAATAGAAAACTAATTTTGAAACCATTATGATATTTAATGTATTTTCCAGTCAAAATTGTCTAAACATTAAAAATAAAAATATAAAACAAATTATGCTTGATCTAATATACATTTCTCGGCAGGGCCGGACTGGCCCGGACCACAGGTCCGCGATCGCAGACTGGGCCCAAGACTTCATGTTCAATGTTCATATTTTAAAATTTTATATGGTATTACTATTTAATTAATTGAATTATATTTAATCATGTCTTAACATTAAAGGACTCTTTATTGCGATACAGTGGTCTGAAAAAATATTTAGACTTGTTACACGATACCTTTTTTTTCGGAAATAAATTGATTTTAATATAAATATAAAATATTGTTTATGTCATTGCAGTTAAACCACTATAGATAAAATGGTTTTGTGTTCACAAAATTAATTATATTCATAAATCATATATTATATAATTTTATTGTAAAATCGGTTTTTTCCTGTGTTGCTTTGGGGGTGAGAGATAATTATTTTCCATCTGTAAATTCGAATGGTTTTACTTGTTTAGTCGAATTTAGATCTGTATTAAGATTGTATGACTGATAACTACTAAAAACATTTTAAGTTGGAAAAAGTTTATATGATTTAATTTCAAGTGAATTTCATAAATTAACTTTAGATATTTCTAAAATTATAGATTGCTCTTTCGATGGAGCAGCTAACATGAAAGGGTCCTATAATGGTTTATAAGCACAATTAAAAAACAATAATCCATTATGTGCGTACACACATTATGTAGGGCATATACTGAATTCGGTTATGGTCATCATCTGAATATTGCGTGCATACAGAATTTCTATTTAGTTTAATACAACAATCCTCAACATTTTTATCAGCTTCTTATAAAAGAAGGAAAGTTTGATCTGATTTGACAAAAAAAAATTCAAACCAATAATGATAAATTAAGGGAATTTAATTTAATTGTTGCTACACGTTGGTGGAGCAAAGATAAAGCATTAAGCTCTATTATAATATTTAATGAGACTGACATTGAAAATTCTAGATTTTTATTATTTTTAAATTTTTTGCTGGAAATAATTTCATTTAACTCTACATTTTATATAAAAACAAAATTCACTGCTCGCACTCTACTAAAAAATTGGTCTAAATTTGATATGATTATGACTGTAGCAATTTATCTGGACATACTCAATATTAGCTCGCCCATTTCTAAATTTCTTCAATCTCCATCGTTAAACTATTTAACTGTTTTTAATATGATTAACAATTTGCATAAAGAAATTAGATCTAGAATAGATAATTCTAATAATATATTTATTAAACTTTATTCTGAAGTTAAACATCTTATTTTTTTTTTTTTTGGGGGGGGGTAACGGCCTTTAAGACCAGCCCTCCAAGTATATACTTCACCATCTATTTCTATCCTCCGCTTCTTCCCTCCATTGCAAACTATCTTCTATTCTTCTTCTAAATATTATCTATTAAAGATGTAAACATCTTATTATACAAATAAATAAAGAGTTTGAATTAAATGGTAGTAATTTCACTATAAAAATTATTTTAATAAGGGAAAATCTGTAGGAAGAGTGTTAAAAAAAAAAAATAAAAATAAAATATGCCTGGTGAAGATGTAACTGATGAACGACCAAATATTTCATTAATTGATAGGTTTAAAATTGAAACATTTAATTATATATATGTTGTTTGTACAAATAGCTTGGATAAACGATTTATAAGTAATTTAAAATTGCTCAGTGATTGTGTTTGCCTTGATCCAAAAAACTTTGATTCTATAAAAAAATGAAGTACCTGCAAATACGTTACTAGAACATTCACTTCTAACAACTATTGATCGATTTTACTTTACAGTATAACTCTATTACTAAAACTTTTAAAGATACTTTCAAATTTCTAACTGAAGACGACCAATTTCCTATTCATAAACATGAACTAGATTTAGATAAAAACGAAGCATCTTTTATTAGTTATTAAACATGTCATAAATGTTTACGGTGTGCCTTTAATGTGTTTTACATAATATAGTTCAACACTCTGGTTGTTTTAACAATATATATTATGCATATAAATTTGTATCAATGAAGGGGGGGGGGGTCGCCTAGTCCCTCCCGACCTAAGCCTTAAGGGCCTTTTGATCAGATCGCAGATTGGGCCTTTTGACATCAGTCCGACCCTGTTCCTCAAAATCTTCACTTAGAATCTTAAATAACATTGATTTATATTATTTTTATAAAAATTTGAATAAGTTTATCTTATAGGGTTTATAGGTTTGTTTTATAGATATTCTGAATATTTTAGCGATTTTGTATTTTGCTATCGGCTTAGTGGTTACCATCCAATATTTATTATGTATTCTGTAAATTAAAAAAATGAAAACATTATAAACCGTTAAATGTATGCGAAATGTTAGAAAAAAAATGGAAGTTGATTAGTTGACTACCATTAGAAGGGTTATATCAGGACTTATAGCATTTAAAACACAATAATAAGTATTTAAGTATTCACTAAAAAAACAGTAAATTATACACAAAAAAATCTAAAAATATGCATTTAACATTAATAAGTATTACATTAAAAATTAAAAAAATAACAAAAATTTTAAACTTATTTAAAAATTACATTGAAATAGGTATTTTCCCAGTTTTTTAATTTTATTCAGAATTATAAAACAACTTGGGTAAAACACGATTCCGTATGATTTTACCTGATTTTTAATTACACGATTGCGTACGAAGTTTTAAACGTTGATGCCAATTTTCATACCCATATTGGTGTATATCACATGCCTATACTAGAGAAATTAAAAAAGTTAATAAATACTATGTGTTTTATTGCTTTTATTACCTATGTTTATTGTTAATAATATCAAAAATATCAGATATAAATAAATTTCATTATTTCTGTTATATTATACGGTATTTTCCGAGTTTCAGTAAAAGTAGTAGGTTATAGAGGTCAGGAAATCCAAATTTAAGCATTTTCAAATAATTTATTAACATTAATTCCATTAAAATCTGTCGATTTTATTTATTTATTAATTATTTTTCTTTTATTTAGTTATTCTCATTTTATTTATTATTTTATTATTAATATTTATTATGAACTATTATAGAACTATTATATGTATACATGTATGTTATTATATGTATATCTATATTAATTAGATATAATAAGGTGAAATTGGTAAATTTGACAACGTTTATGCATACAATTTCGTAAGCAATCGTGTTTATTTATTTTTCTTACCCACCTTTTTGTTACCCATTAACAAACGTACGACAATCGTGTTCTACCCGACAACTTGACTAATATCGATTGTCAGCCATCAAAACTTTGTTTATCAGAAAATGCTTTAGTTTCATATAAATGTATTATATTACATCGGACGATACGGTTGATATAGGTTGATATATCATATATTCTATGAATTAAGTTATTTTTTTCAACACGAATATGATAACTAAATGCGAGTTGAATATTGAAAATAGGTAGGTATATATTTAATATTTAAATTTTTTTTATCGTTTGAAATGTGTATACTTTTTAATTTTGAAATTTAAATAATTTGTCAAAATATGCAAAATAAGTACAAAAACGTACAAATAAGCACATTTCTATAAAATAGGGAGTAATGCTTACGAAATAACATAAGATAAAAACTCATTTAAATAGATTAAAAGGATGTTTAAGAAAATTGAAAAAGTTTTATAGTTGCAGAAAAAAGTTTAAACAAGATTCTCACTTAATTTTATTTAAACCTTTTGTAAGTATGTAAAATATTTTAATGAATTTCTATGACTTACTTCGAAGAAAAACTGTGAGAAACGTTATTCAACTAATAAAAGTACTTCATAATAAGTATATGAATATTTGATTGTTTTCATTTTTTCACATAGTATGTTCATATAGTATTATGTTCATACCAATTTTAATGAACTCCATAAAGACAAAACAGTGATGTTAATAATTTTTAATATTTTCTGGTAAACAATGTCTTTGTTAGTGTTTAATTTTAGTGTTAAATCTTAATCCAAAAGAAAAATAAATTTATTTCACATACTATAAATGTTGTGGCTATACGCATTTTATACGTTGTTACAACACTTGTCCTACAATTGTACAAAAATAAAAAAAAAATAAATCTGTGTATAAATATTAATAATTCGAGAGTATAAAATATTGCATTCCATCAAATTCGATTTTCGTTTCGATGTCGATCATGGACTTCCACGACAAAACCGCAAACGCTATGTTTAACCCTTCTTCATGAACCAAAATGCCCGGTTCAGTCTAGTCAACGTAGTGTTCAGAGTATTGCCTACAACCTGGTCAGCTTTTCTCAGACCGAAGTTGACGTAGTGTTCGGCCTTAGAGATGCCGTCAACCACGGACTGTTCGGCCTTAATGATGCCACCGACGACGGACTTCTCAGCCTTCATCACCCCGTCCACGATCTTCTTTTCCGTCATGACGATACCGTTGGCCACGGATTTGCCAGCGATCGCAATCTTGCCGTTAACCAGCGTAGCCGTTTGGCTCACGTGCTTTTCCATCGTCTTTCGTGCGTCCGAAACGCCGATGGCCATGCTGCCCGTCCAGTCTTCGATTTCGTAGGCCACGCCGTCCCGCAGTTGGCCGTACTTCTTTTCGGCCACCTTCAGTGACCTGATCACGTTGCCAAACAGGATCTTTTGCTGTTCGCTCACGCGATCGAAGTCCGCCGTGTCGTTATCGTTCACGGTCTGCGGCATTGTGCTCGCGATTATCGAATCCAGGTTCTTCAGGAAGTAGTCCATGGCCAATGCGAAGTCCAGTTCGTTGTACCGGTTCGGCAGTGGCCGTGGCACGATGTTGTACGTCCCTTTGCGGTCGCCGTCACTGATCTCATTCCCGACGATCGACGGATCCGGCCCGGAGTACCGCCAGTTCATATCGTCGGTCTTCTGCAGTATACCTCGGATCGGATCGTTCACTTGCTCTTTTACTTTTAGACTCCACAAGAAATCCACATGATTGCAATAAGGAGTTTTCACCGGGAAGGCGTCCATCAATTTGGGGAGTTGTACTTTTAGCCTCATCACGTCCTGCACAAGTTGTCAAGGGAAAAATGTTTCCGTAGTAAAATAGTTTACGAAAAAAAAAACCAGCTTACCTCCGGATCAGCTAATAAATCATTTTCACCATATATTAACGTGATTGGCACGTTTATCGACTTCAAATCATACGTGGGAGGTTCCGTAGAGTTGTAATAGCGAAGATTCAAAACGGGACCATAATCGAACTGGCCAAAAGACTCTGTAACGAAATTGAATACACATGAATGAAAAGACTAACGTGTCGTAAACACGCATTCGTTAGACATTACCTTTCAATATGAACTGTGCGAAATGAGAAGCGAGCTTAGCTGAAGTACCTGCTGGAAAATGTCCCATGATGTATGGAATTAATTTCTAACACAACAAATTAATAACGATTACAATAATCATTTAATACATTATATTAGAAGTACAGAGAATTGCCATGTTTTCCATTAAAACGAACACGGAAATGATCGAAACATGGTAGTCCCCACCGTACAGAGATGAATCAACAAAATAGTTAGATTTAATAGTTACAGAATCGAAGTCATAAGGGTCGCTGCCACACACAGAAAATATAATGCACTTTTCGCATATCAGTTTCTGGGTCATTTTTTCTCTACAAATAGTTGAAGCTAAAAACGTTTGTAATCTTGATTGCGGCATAATCATTCCACCCGCCATCTTTTGATACATCATCTATAAAATTAGTATAAAATATTCTTTACTAATTTACTCTAACAATATAACCTTAAAACTCATTCTTAATTAAACACTTATCAAACACCAATATATTACATTGATGATTAAAACGCATTCCATATAACGTTATTTAGCCGATTTTATACATTTAATAAACTATGTATATTTTATATATTTAAGTGTTATTTAATGCATGCTATAATCGATATAAATGAAGTTTGCACTTAATTATATATAATTTTGCAAGGCAACAAAAGCAATAATATTCATAATATATATTTTACGCTCTCTGTTGATTTCTTAAATCTTATTAATTTTTTTTTTTTATACATTATATATGCAAAAACTGCACTATAAAAATTGGTTTGTTATCAAATTTATAAAAAAGATAAAAATAAAAAACAAAATATGGATTAAAATTGTGTAGGACAGAAGTTCCCAAACTTCTTATAGTACGACCCATCTTGGAAATTATTTCAATTTTGACGACCCAAAATAATATCATTGACCTTTTTTTTTTTTCTGTTTTCATCATTTTAAATTGAAGAAAAGTTTTATATTTATAAAAAAATTTTATACTATGTAATTTAATTAGTAAGCATATAAATTTAATGTGAAGGATGTAATTGTTTCCTATTTTTTATAACTGTATTGATATCCACTTTTTTATTTTGATTGCAAAGAACTTGTTGTAAGCTCATCATCAGTTAACCCTTTCGGTACTGGCGGGACGTTTAGGTCCCGGACACTTCAAATGTCAATAGAAAATATATTATTCTATAAATTGGTATGTTATGGCCTGGTGGGACTTTTGAGTCCCGTTTAAAAATGGAAAAAAATATATACATACATGTACATCGGTATAGAATATTATTATTAGCTCAACACAGCTAGTATTTTTTCTTGAAACCTTATCTATCAAATCATGATTTTGTTTTCATTGTTATTATGACTGTTACTAAATATAACTGTTACATGTTATTCTAAATCATTGAAGTACTTCTAAATAGTGTTATCGAATATTGTTTGTGTCAATATAATATATATTTACGAAAATAATCAACATTTTTGTCACGGGACTCATATATCCCGTTAGTATTCGACAGTTGTAAAACGGCGGGTCGTGTGTTCGTAATAAAGTATAATATAATATAGTCTTACGTACGTACGTCTCGTATATTTCGTTATCAATTTTTATTGTAAATATATTTTTTTCTGGATTTTTTTTTAAAAATGAGTAAAAAAGATCAAGATATCGAAGAATGGTTATTAATGGATGTTCCGGATGATCCAGAATCTGAGGACGAATATAATTTAGATGATGGTGATACCGATGAGCAAGCCCAACAAGAGGTAATTGAACTAAGTAATTTTTTTTTGCAAAGTACATGCAAAACCGGTGAAAATGACGAGGAACCATTAATAACTGATAATTCGGATGTTATTATTTTTGATTTTCCGGAATTTGACTTTTCTCATCAAACCGAGGACGTAAGTCTAAAAACCACTAATACACCAAGCTCTTCTAGAACTTTGAGACCACGAGTATCAAATTCAAATAATTTGTCCAATACATCTATTTCTGGCCATGTAAAACCTGATAATACACAAACACCAGAACATATCGATAATAATATTATAGAACTTGCTGTTAATAATACTTTTGATAATACTCCAGATCCTGTTGTAGTTAATAGGCAGTGGCGTAAAAAAAATGAAATTACAGCTGCTTTACCAGATTTTGAAAAAAGTTTAGGTTACAACCAAGTGATGTTTGGTGACTGCAAAACGGCAACGGATATTTTTTTAAAACTAATTAATCCTATCATAGAAAATATTTTGGACCAGAGTAATTTGTACGCAACTCAAAAAAATAAAAATCTCAATCTACACGAAAATGAATTACTCTCTTTTTTTGGAATTAATTTTTGTATGGGGTATCATAAACTACCTTCATATAAACATTATTGGAAGGGGGCCAAAGATTTAAATGTGCCAGCTATTTCCGAAGTTATGACAAGAGATCGATTTGTAGAAATACTATCTAATATTCACGTCAATAATAATGAAAATATTCCTCAGAACAATAAAGACAAATTGTTCAAATTACGTCCTATGATAGATAGTTTGAACCAAATATTTTTGAAGTCTTCTTCTGGAACTCGTGAACTTAGTGTCGACGAGTCTATGATTAAATTCAAGGGTCGCAGTACGTTAAAACAATATAATCCCATGAAACCTATAAAAAGGGGGTATAAATTGTGGTGTATTGCAGACCAGAACGGATATATTATGAAATTTTCGGTGTACCAAGGAAAAAACGAAACGTTAGAAAAGCAGTTCGAGAACACTAATTTGGGAGAAAGAATTGTATTGCAGTTGACAAAACCATTTTGGAACGAATCTAGACTTGTATTTTTTGATAACTATTTTACAACTATTCCACTCCTGGAAAAGTTGAAAACGCAACACACACTAGCGTGTGGTACTATCAGACAAAATCGTAAAGGGATGCCACAAAATTTCAAAAAAGATTCTGAAATACCTCGTGGAGAATTTGACTATCGATTTTCTACTTCAGGTATTGGAATCTTCAAATGGAAAGATAACAAAGTGGTACATATTGCGTCAAACTATCACGGTAACGAAAAAATATTTGTTGATAGGACTATGAAGGACGGCTCTAGATTGAGCATATCGTGCCCAAATCCAATCAAAGACTACAACAAATATATGGGTGGAGTTGATCACGCAGACAGATTGAGAGCATTATATAACGTTGACCGTAAATCCAAAAAATGGTGGCTTAGGATTTTTTGGGGACTGTTAGACATAACTTTTGTAAATGCGTATGTCATTTATTGCGAAATGTTTGAAAAAACGGATGTATTTGATTTCCGTCGATCAGTTGCCCTTGGTCTGATGACAGCTCGAAATACACCATCAAGAAAATCTATAAGCCTGAAAAGGTCAGCTCCACAGACGCCATCAAATCGAAGAAAGAAAACTTTATCCAACTCCAAAGACGTCAGATTAGGCAACAGGTATCATAAAAATATTTCATCATTATACCATAACAAAATATTATAATACAAAGTTATTTTAATTTTATCTGCAGAGGTATTCATTGGCCAAGTTTTGGTATAAAGAGAGGTAGATGTGAACTTTGCAGTGTTCGAGGAGTAGAGTCCCGGCCACTTTCTTCGTGTAACCACTGCCGAGTATTTCTATGTTGCAATGAAAGGAAAAATTGTTTTGTAGAATACCATCAAGTTGACATCGAATAATTTTATTTTTAAATTTATTTACTAAACTTTTATTAATTTCACTACAATTTAATTTTTTTTATATAAAATAACAAAGTAAAAATTGACAAGGAGTCCGTTTATTTTTGTGTTTGCTATCTACATAAAAATAAATTATGAGAAGTAGATTTCTCGTATTTTTTAATGTAAATAATGTATTTTATTAATTTTTATTGTAATGCTTATCACCCTGACGGGACTTTGAAGTCCCGGATAAAAAAGTAAGTGAATGGCTTAAAAAAAAATTTTGAAAAAAATCAGAGATCTTATTGAAATCATATTAAAAGATTCTGCCAAAAAAAAATTTAACTTTTTTTATTATTTCTGGGGGCCGTACTCAAAGGGTTAATTTTCTTTTTTTAACTGCTGACTCAGATATTATCTCTGTTTTTTCAGTTTTTGCTGAACTTTGAGTCATAAACTCTTTATTTAACCATTTTTCCATAGTAACTGTACAAAAGCCCAAAAAAAACGAATTTATTGGTTATTTGAAAAATAGTAAGATTTAAACTGGGTGCATGTATCGTATTCAATGTACCGTTTATTACTGAAAATAATCAATTTATTTGAACGTCATACAGGTAGATACTAATTTGTTTCAAATATATTGCTATATTTTCAATAATCATTAATCCGATTGCGTTGTGTTGACACAGTCGAGCATAAGCATATAAAGAAATATTATTGTCTATTGGTCGCAGTAAATTTGTAATTGCCACAAACGCAGATAACAGTTAATAATAAAACTAACTAAATAATTATACATCAACCATAAGTAATAGAAACACATGAAAAATATAACGCGACCCACTAAAAATATAATCTCGACCCATGTTTGGGTCGCAACCCACAGTTTGGGAACCTCTGGTGTAGGGTATCATAAGCGATTTATAATGTCTATATTATGTATAAAGGATACAAATTATTTATAATTATTACTTTAAGCGACTGAAAAAAAAATATTATTTTGGTAACCAGATGAATTAACGAAAATTTATGAATCATAATGATATAATGATAATGATTCCTAATACTTATTAGAATTACTTAATATAGTTTATGTATAAATGTATTATAATTATATTTAATCTACTAAAAATACTTATTAGTGAGATAAATGAGTTCAAACTATGTGAGATAAATTAACACATTCACGGTCAGTTACTCTTTTATAGTTACTAACTGCTATGGCAGTAATTTTAGTTTATATGTAATTGGTCACTACCAGCAGAGCTGGATTAAAGGGGAGGGCAAGGGGGGCTGAATCTGCCCCCAGACGCAAAATTTTAAAGACGCAAAGTTTTAAAATAATGTAAATACCATTAAGAGTAAAAAAAATTTATAAGCGAAAAAATTTCTGAATTTTAAGATTTGCCTCAGGGCGCTAAATGTCTTAATCCGGCCCTGTATAGCAGTAATATACAAAATATGCAAAAATAGATATTCCTAATTATGCAGTAACATTCTTATTGGTATTTAAGGGAAATAAAGATATGACTGAACTGTTATGATGATACAAAAGTTTGTGAACAGATAAATATACAATTTTATTTATACATTTCCTATTGGTGTTTTAAAATAAATTTATAATGCCTAATTTGTCTATCAAAAATGAAGTCATAGAGACCGACTAATTTCACATATCTTGATCAAAGATTATTGTATTTTTATTATTAATTTGTTAAAAATTGTTAACTGCAGCACTAATAATCTCTACATTTATTATGTATATTAAATGTTAATATATTTGTTGTATTTAAATTATTAAAATTAAATATTAATATAATTAGTTTTCATTTCAGTATCATACTAACGTTTATTATTCTTGCATAAGGAGCGATGTATCTTAGTGCAGATCTTGTGTTTGATAAATAAGCCACGGGTGCTAAACTGATTTGTGATCGAATCTTGGGCTGATATTCAGGCCTTTCCGAGGCCATAATAAAAAACACACAAGTACCCATGGAATATCCTATGTAATGGAGTTGCGAGACATTGTTATTTATTAGAATATAGTCGAATGAAGCGGGCAAATCGTAGATTCCGATTTCATTTAAGCTGTAATAATAAAAGACATAAAATTAATATTTCTATTAATTAATTTTTTTTCAATATCACATTTTTAAATAATTTTTTTTTCATAATGATGTTACAAAATTAAACTTGGAATGCATATCTGAGCAGTTCCACATTATTCTAATCTATAGTTAAATCTTTTTTCTTCTTTTTTATGTCAGTTATGATTTTTATAACTAAATATAACTACTATTGGTTATATATAATTAATAGCGTTATCTGACATGAAAAATCATCTTCTGAAATATATACGTACATCTGAAAATAACCCTACATACAAACAGTTGACAGTGAACGAGTATAATGAATGAGTTTGAAAATAACTGCATAAATATTACCTAAAGTTCCAAAAATTTTTTTGTTTCCAGGTCAGTGACACGTGTTTTCGACTATAAGTGTTACCACGACAGTTCGCCAACCATACATCGTACCCATCATCGGCTAACTGCATAGCTGTAATATTATATCATGTATATATGTATATATATATATATATATATAATATCATGTTTATATATTAATATTCTAAGATAGGGCGGATTGATTGCGTGATGTTCTACACCAGAATTTCTCAATTCGGAGTACCGGTATCTGTAGGGGTAGGCAAAATAACTTAGGGGGGTGCACGAAATAATATAATATAGTAATGGGCGAAAATTTAAAACTCAATTTAATTATAATGGTTCGTTTCGGAAATATTTAAAAATAAGTACAAGATTAATTTTATATGAGCGCGGACTTAAGCTTTTATTTATTTTATATTAATCCAGATTGTAAAAAATTGATTGAATCTATACTATCTCAAGTTTCATATAAATGTATGTAATAATAAAATATAGACGTAATTTTTTTACTTAAAATTTTAATAAAAATATTATATTTTTTCTCGCATGTTATGTCGTTGTTGAACACAATATTTGAATAAAAAGAAAAAAAAAGAGAGGTCATTTAAATTTGTGATAGAGGTATATAAAGTACTGGTAAGAGGTCAACAGTTATTCGCGAATAAAAAAAGGTTGAGGAACGATGTTCTACACAATGGCAACTACATCAAAACTTACGTAGAGACATATTGGCTCCACCGAGTACCCAATCAGCTGAGCTTCCAAGAATCCCATGATGGATGAATACTGGATGGTTTCTAGTGGGCTCCTGACCGCTCTTGCTCCTGGGGATTCGGTGTAACTCCAGGATGTAACCGTCTTCTGTGGTGACATGATGAACTTCGACATCGTATCCATTATTCTGAATTATTTCCACCTGAATTCAAATTAATTTTTAAAAAACTCGGAAAAAATATAATATATCGGTAATAATTTAATAATATAAATGTAGTGCCTATTGATATTTTTATCGATAAAATATTAACTTGTTTTAGATATATTTATTAACGTAATTTTTCGCTACTCCTAACCTAAGTACATAAATTTCGCAATTATGGGACATATAAGATAATAATATTATAATAGCGCTTAGAATATTGACCTGTACATTTGAAACTTTTAGACAAAAAATCATATTTTTGTTGGTAATTAATTAAATTTGAAATGTATACTGTAACCAGTTACTATTCGCCATTTTTTTTAAATAATATAATATTATTTATATTGAATAATTTTGTGCGTTCGTTTATTTAGGACGTGATGTCGAATAATAACATCTTAAAAATCCAACTCCACAAAAATATAAAATTATACGTCGTTGAAAAAATTATTATATTAAAATATATGTATTGACCGTGTACGATTCAGGTTCAAAACTTACGCTGTAGTAATTGTTTTTAATCTCTATAAATTTTCTATCACTTTTAATTTTGTTTCTAATTTTTACAACCTACATGGTACAATATTTCGTAACTATTTATTTATACCTATATAAATTATAAATGTATTATATTATAAAATTATAAGTAGGAACATATGTAAGATAATTGTTACCTATTGTTTTGTTTGTTGTTTAATATTTTTTGAAATATAGTACAAAATAATTGTTTTAATAAATTAATATAATCATTAGAACACATACACATTCATTAAATTCCTAAATTATTTATATACAAACTGTAGATTAAATGTGTTGTTGATTTATTTTATAAAAATTTAGCTGGTTTTATTTGCATAATTAATTTGATTCATTTAATTATTCGTTAATTAAATTTGTAAACAAAAAATTATATTAGTATACGAGTAAATACATTTACGTAGGTACAAATATAAACATAAATTGGCTTTTAAAAAGTATACTACTCCAAAGTAAGAATTAAGAAAAATAAATTTAGAGTATAAATTATAATGTAATAAGAGAATGATAATTATATATGAAAATAATAGTTTACAAATAATTATCTTTACAGCCATTTCGAACAATTATATGAAGACTTGTACAAAGTATAGTTTAAGCATAAACTAAAACATTAGTGTTCGTATGTTTATATGTATGGTAATTTAATTTAAATGCATCATATTCATTATACTTAGGCATTTATTCTTCTATTTTTCTGTTTATTATTAAACAATATATTTTATTATAATATAATATTTATATTTATATTATAAATAATATAAATGGACAAAAGATTAGTTTACCAATATGTGATTGTAAAAAGTATTATTGGTAATTTAACATAGTGTATTTTATTAAAAATTAAAACCTAGATATATAATAAACAAATAATTTATAGAATTTCATGTTAAAAGTAAATAATAAAATAATATAATAGTATAATAAATGGACCAAAAAATTAAGAAAACTAAGTATACGAATTCATTAATGTACTTAAACCAACTGTAAAATTAAATAATCTCACTAAATTTAAAAGAAACAAGCCTCCATGAACATCCACAACAAAAACAAAACCATCACTTCGTAAAAAAACTATTATGGAAAAAAAATTAAAGGCAATTTATAAATTATATTCTTCTTTTATATTATATTAAAAATGTAATATTAAACATCTCGAAAACGACCAATCACTATTGTAATTGAGACCTTGTTTGTAAAAAATATGTTTTTAATATTCTTAAATAAAAATGATCTTATAAAAAAAATGACAATTATCAACTATCAATTAGTCAACAATAAACCACGGCTTCTTATCAATTCATGTTATCTATCAACATGTGTAGTAAACATATTATTATTACTTTAAACTATACGTTTTTAAAACGCTCTTGTCAAAAAAT